TAATAGCTGGGGTGCCATTGAATGAGAATGTTGTTCGTTCAGGACCTTTTGTGATGAATACGTGGGCGGAGATACAGCAGGCTTATACTGACTATCAGTCTGGGACATTGGGGCAGATTGAGGGGGCAGAGGAGAGATATGCTGCTACTGAAGCTGCTAAGAAGAGACAGAAAGAGTCAGGAAGACGACAAGGAGATTTATAACTGTGGTAATAATAATAATACTATAATCCTTTATTATAACAATATTATGTACTCTTGATTATAACTATAACTGTTTTGTTTGTCAAGTAAATTAACAGAGATCATTTTTAAATTCTATTTTTCATAAAAAACACTTTTAGTATTTCTTTTTAATTCTGTTGACTATACAATCAGTATTGTTCTATCAATTATAATCATTCTTGATAATGATATTCAGTGTTATTCGTGTGTTCCAGCAACTATTTTCATGAGGTCCTATATACCACACACATACACTGATACACCCATCCTTTATACTGGTGGACTTGCTCTGGCCTGCTACTGCAAAGGCTTGCTCTTTTGTCCAGCTTTCAGAGACTACTAACTAAATCATCTCTTCTTGCTTTTATAAAGTCCTTTCTTTATTGTGGTGCAGCTGATCACTTACTGAAATAGCTACACCTTAAGTTACCTAATTCTCTCATTGTCCTCCATACTATAGTACAAGATGATTGATGTCTCTCAATGGAGAGCAAGTATTGGACTGTGGAACTACTGTCAAGCTGCCTCCAGTAGACCAGCTAATGGCCGCCACTCTCACTCATTCAAAGCTGCAGTAGACAGCAAGTCAGGAAGTACTACATCAGGAGAGAAGACATCTAAACTACCATCAGCTCTGTTTCTTATTTCTTTCCTCCTCCTCCTCTTTCACTCTCTCTCTTTATTAAGACACATCTTGATGATTCCTCCAACAGGTAAACAACAATTGCAACTTTGTACTTGTATATTTACTTATTATTATTAGGTAACTGCTACCAAGTACAATATACTACTGGTGTTACTGTTACTGATACAAATTACCTCCAGTCAGTAGTCTTACCTGGAGGCAGCAGTTCTAACCTGATTTACAATGATTTCTATTTGATTGTTTGTCTACGTATGCTCCTCCTCTTATCAGGAGATGTTGAACTCAATCCTGGTCCTATGATTGATGATCAACCTGATATTTCATTATTAACTCAATGGCTTGAACCACTTGTTGAATGGAAACCATTTGGTCTTAGCTTACCAGGAACTACTTATTCTGACATTTCAAAAATTGAAGCTGAAAATGTAACAATTGAAGACAGAAAGTTAGCATTGTACTCAAAATGGTTGAAGATGGCTCCTAAAGCAACATGGGCTGATGTGATTAATGCACTGAACAAAAGAAAAGAAAACAAACTTGTACAAGACATTAGAAGAAATTTACAAAAAAGTGCACCAAGGTCAGCTAGAAGTTATTGTGCTGTCACTACCAGACCACAATCACATGTACAGGCAATAGTAATGTTTAAAACAGCAGAGGATGAAAAGAAGATATTGAATACATTAATTGGTCTCAATAAAGAATTCTCCAGTTTAATGATGCATGTACGTTCAGGCTTTCAGACAAAAATTGAAAATGATCCTGAACAGTTAGCTAATCTTACCATATGGTTGGAGACTTACATGCATTGGAATGATAAACTAACAAATGCATCATTAGATGAAATTTTCAAAATTATTCATCCATTTTATGATTTTCTTGATTGCAGTCTGATAGTGGACATGAGCGAAGTCTTTCTTCAGGACTTTATATTTGGTGTCAGCAAATTAAATATTGTTAGTGAATTAAGAAAATACCAGGAAAAAGCTGATAATCTTTGTTTTTCAGCTCAAGTACAACATTTAAACAAAGCACTAAAAACAATATATGGAGGACATATACCAGATTTATCAAAAGTGCCAATGATTTCAATGAAGCTTCATAATCCATGGCATGGTAGCAAAATTAGTGGACTCTCTCTACTGATCCACAACTTACTTCCTGTTGGACACCAGCAGTCAATAATGAAATACATTACAATATTATCTGGTTGCATTATCATCAAATATTCTGTACTTGGTTCCACAGCTGATAGTCTAATAGAATATACTGGAGGAAAGTTACAGTTTATGCATCTTATTGGTATATTTAGTTTATACATCAATGATCATCCTATCCTTCAAGAAGATGAGAATATGAACTTCACCTTTGAACTAGCTCTCCTTGAGGCAGTCACAGCTGGTAATAATGAAGCAGTGGGGTTTCTTCTTCAACTAGAAACTGTTAACATTGATCATACTAATGAAGAAGGCAAGACAGCACTAATGTTAGCTTGTGAAAGAGGACATGAGGACATTGTACACAGTTTACTGTCTGCTGGAGCTAATGTTAACATTCAGGACAATAAAGGATGGACAGCACTAATGAGAGCAAGTAAATATAATCACATTTCAATCATTCACATGTTACTACAAGCTAATGCTAATCCTCACCTGAAGAAGACATTGGGTGGATCAAATGCTTTAATGATTGCTACTTACTTTGGTAACTATGAAGTTGTTGAGCTATTGATTAGCAAAGGAATTGATTATAAATACCTACGAAAAGATCATGGAGCAAATGCTTTTATGTTGGCTTGCAAAAATGGTCACACTCAAATAGTTAAACTGCTGCTGAAGGAACAAGTTGATCCTAATGTTCAAGAGAAAGATGGTTGGAATGCTTTAATGTTGGCTTGTGAAAATGGTCACACTCAAATAGTTGAGCTGTTGCTGAAGGAACAAGTTGATCCTAATGTTCAAGAGAAAGATGGTTGGAATGCTTTAATGTTGGCTTGCAAAAATGGTCACACTCAAATAGTTAAACTGCTGCTGAAGGAACAAGTTGATCCTAATGTTCAAGAGAAAGATGGTTGGAATGCTTTAATGTTGGCTTGCAAAAATGGTCACACTCAAATAGTTAAACTGCTGCTGAAGGAACAAGTTGATCTTAATGTTCAAGAGAAAGATGGTTGGAATGCTTTAATGTCAGCTTGTCAAAATGGTCACACTCAAACAGTTGAGCTGTTGCTGAAGGAACAAGTTGATCCTAATGTTCAAGAGAAAGATGGTTGGAATGCTTTTATGTTGGCTTGTCAAAATGGTCACACTCAAATAGTTGAACTGTTGCTGAAGGAACAAGTTGATCCTAATGTTCAAAGAAACAGTGGGGGGAATGCTTTTATGTCAGCTTGTCGAAATGGTCACACTCAAATAGTTAAACTGCTGCTGAAGGAACAAGTTGATCCTAATGTTCAAAGGAATGATGGAGTGAATGCTTTAATGTTGGCTTGTCAAAATGATCACACTCAAACAGTTGAACTGTTGCTGAAGGAACAAGTTGATCCTAATGTTCAAGAGAAAGATGGTTGGAATGCTTTAATGTTGGCTTGTCAAAATGGTCACACTCAAATAGTTGAACTGTTGCTGAAGGAACAAGTTGATCCTAATGTTCAAAGAAACAGTGGGGGGAATGCTTTTATGTCAGCTTGTCGAAATGGTCACACTCAAATAGTTGAACTGTTGCTGAAGGAACAAGTTGATCCTAATGTTCAAGAGAAAGATGGTTGGAATGCTTTAATGTTTGCTTGTCAAAATGGTCACACTCAAATAGTTGAACTGTTGCTGAAGGAACAAGTTGATCCTAATGTTCGAAGAAACAGTGGGGGGAATGCTTTTATGTCAGCTTGTCGAAATGGTCACACTCAAATAGTTGAACTGTTGCTGAAGGAACAAGTTGATCCTAATGTTCAAGAGAAAGATGGTTGGAATGCTTTAATGTTCGCTTGTCAAAATGGTCACACACAAATAGTTGAACTGTTGCTGAAGGAACAAGTTGATCCTAATGTTCAAGAGAAAGATGGTTGGAATGCTTTAATGTTCTCTTGTCAAAATGGTCACACACAAATAGTTGAACTGTTGCTGAAGAAACAAGTTGATCCTAATGTTCGAAGAAACAGTGGGGGGAATGCTTTTATGTCAGCTTGTCGAAATGGTCACACTGAAATAGTTGAACTGCTGTTGAAGGAACAAGTTGATCCTAATGTTCAAGAGAAAGATGGTTGGAATGCTTTAATGTTCTCTTGTCAAAATGGTCACACACAAATAGTTGAACTGTTGCTGAAGAAACAAGTTGATCCTAATGTTCAAAGGAATGATGGAGTGAATGCTTTAATGTTCACTTGTCAAAATGGTCACACTCAAATAGCTGAACTGTTGCTGAAGGAACAAGTTGATCCTAATGTTCAAAGGAATGATGGAGTGAATGCTTTAATGTTGGCTTGTCAAAATGGTCACACTGAAATAGTTGAACTGTTGCTGAAGGAACAAGTCGATCCTAATGTTCAAAGCGAAGATGGTTGGAATGCTTTTATGTTGGTTTGTCAAAATGGTCATACTCAAATAGTTGAACTGTTGCTGAAGGAACAAGTTGATCCTAATGTTCAAAACAAAGACGGTGCTACTGCTTTGATGCTTGCTAGTGCTAAAGGACATTATGAAGTAGTTAAGTTATTGCTGGAGTGGAAAGCTGATCCAACTATTAAATCTAACAAAGGCAAAACTGCATTATCTTATGCCAAAACTAGTGAAACAAAAACATTGCTTAAAAATTACTTGAAAAAAAGAAATTTAAAGGAAGATGATGCTACTAGTATTTTCTCATTTGCATCTCAAAGAACAGTATCCAGTGGACGTCATACAGTATCAGATATTAGTAGTATGAGAAGTTTTCCTTCTACTTTAACTTTAGATTCAGGAATAGAAGAGTTGAAAGATAGGAAGTGATGTTGCAGTAGATATTATAAAACAATGCATTGTGATTAAAATTAGCTTTATTAGAGGCCAAAAAGTATTTTATAATAATATGTGTAGCTACATGCATTTTATTTTTCTTGCTTTAAATACTTTACAGAGGAGGCTGTATATGCTGTGTGGAACTGAAGTTTGAGCCCTTAATATTATTTTTCTTTTTCGAATAAAAAGTTAAAATTCATTGTCTTGTTTGCACTAATACAACTACTAGTTCTCCTTGTCACTCCTCTTGACATCCTTTTTTATTTATTTCCCTAAGTTTAAACAAGAGTAAACAATGTGCCAAAAAGAGCAACAAAATTACAACTCTGTAGTTGCTTTTGATGCAAAATACCGTTATAATTTATGCATATTAAAAATATTTTGATAAAAAATATAAAGGCACAAAGCAAGGAATATTAAAACCTTAGAAAAAATACAAGCTAAAATTATACCTTTAGAGAAAGGATGGAGAGACCGGTGGTGAAAATTTTTAAGGTAAAAATTTTGTAAGAAGAAACAAGTATAAAAGAGTATTATAAAAGAAGTACAAATAAACAATTAATATTAAGTGTGTGTTATCGTTGTCTAACATTAGTATCACTTGACACAATGTGATGGCTCAAATGAGAATAAGACGACTTCACAAACGACTTCTTTCTCTCCACCCTAGCTCTATCAAAAGCTCCTCTCACAGCACTCCTATCATCAATACGAGATATTGCTTTATTGAACTTTTGTATGTCAGGATGAGGAGCACTACGCCTACGTCTCTTAAGGGCCTCCAGTGAGTATTCAGTATCTTCATCATCATGATCGTTATCATTGCTAATGCCCTCATTGG